AAAACTAAATCCTTAAGTACAGTGTGGTGGTGCAAGCCTTTAATCCTAGCACTAGGGAGCCAAAGGCAGGTGGATCTTTGTGCCTTCCAGGCCAGCCAGGCTACATAGTAAGAACCTGTCTTAAAAACCAGGGACAAAAAGAATTAAAAAATTCAAAGCTAACTATGTGAAACAGCTGTCAAAAAGCTAAGGGAGGAATTGGGATTGCAGCTTGTTTTACATCTGTTAAGGACTGGAGTTCGATCCTTAGCTCCTCACAAATAAACCAAAAAAACAAACCCAAGGATCATTATCAAAATATCACAATATTTGTATCTATAGATATTATGAATGTGAATGTACTCTATATATGTGTACATGCTTGCTAGTATAATATCAATAATTAAGTTATCTGTAAACCATATTACACAAAAAGACTTAATAAAGGGAAGAAATTTGGCTTGAAAACAGACTTGCAGGTATCTGCTAAACAGTAGCACAAAGCAGTTGAGATGAAAACCAAGTATGCATTATGAAAATAATAATAAAAAGGCAGATTTTTTAACCAAGATGGGTAACTCCAAATACCCTTTAGTTTCCAACATTGAATTTTACACCTCAAGGAATGGTAAATGGTATGTATGGTTACAAGTCAAGCAGATGAACAATAATTTATTAAGAAAACTCAAAAAAAGGGGGGGGCTGGAGAGATGGCTCAGCGGTTAAGAGCACTTGTTGCTCTTTCAAAGGACTCAGGTTTGATTCCCAGGGCCCACATAGTGACTCACAACCATTTTTGACTCCAAATTGGGCAGATTTAAGATCTTCTTCTGGCCTCTGAGGGCAATAAGCACACATGGTGAACAGACATGTATGTAGGCAAAACATTCACATACATAAAATAAAAATAAATCTAAAATGGTTGCTGGGGTGTTTTGTTTGTTTGTTTTGGAGATGGGGTTTCTTTGTGTGTAGCCTAAAAAGGGTTTTAAAGAAAATTCAAAAGCAATTCTTGATCTAGGCAGTGGTTCTCAACGTGTGGGTCACAAACCCTACTATATACTTACAATACAATTCATAACAGCAAAATTACAGTTATGAAATAGAAACAAAATAATTTTATGGTTGGGAGTTACCACAATATTAAGAACTGTAGGAAAGGGTCACACCATTAACATGGTTGAGAACCACCACACTAGGGTAAATTGCAAACATTCCCAAAGTTCTCCTCATCTTAGAAAAGCCTGGCCACTTGTTAGCTGCAGACAAGAATGTTAAGACAACATGCACTCCAGTTATTTTAAGAGCACTGGGTAAAATTGGGCAGAGTTGTACATCTGTGACTCCAACACACAGGAAGTAGATAGAGGAGGATTTCAAGTTGAAGAATAGCTTGAGATATATAGAAAATTCAAGGCCAGCCTAGGATATACTTCAGTGCCCAGTCCCCCATTTTAGCAGCCATTACAGGCTAGCATGTGCTTGCATGACCTTATCCCTCCTGTCCTGGTCACTAGGAGGTCATATGCCCTACTCTTGGCAAGGAGTCATTCAGAAGTTAGCTGGCAGGGCTGTGTTTTACAGCTCTGGGTGTGCTTTACGGACAGTGTACAACAGTGCCGTGCAGAGCTTAGCAACCGCCCTGGGAGGGCCTATGGGCCATAACAACCAGTTGACCAATCAACACAAGTTGGGTCACCCAAACCTGGAAGCACACCAATCCTGAGACTGTTTCATACCCCTAGACATTCCCCTTATGCTGCCCTTTAAGATCCCTGCTTCGAGGTTGCTCGGGGTCTTTCTCCAGCCATCTGCCACGGTGGAGGGATGAAGGGCCCAAGCTAATGGGTTCAGCTCGTTAAATAACTTTAATAAAAGACTCTTTGTTTTTTCCATCGAAAAGGGCCTCTTGGTGATTTTGAGGTTCAGACACACAGGAAGTAGACAGAGAAGGATTTCAAGTTGAAGAATAGCTTGCGATATATAGAAAATTCATGGCCAGCCTAGGCTATACAGCAAGATACTATCAAAACCAACCAACAGCAACAGAGAGAAAGGGGCTGGAGAGATGGCTTAGCAGTAAAGAGTCCTTGGCTGCCCTTTCAGAGGACCCTTGTAAGAGTTCCAACACTCAGTCGGCAGCTGACAAACTGTCGGTAGTTCCACTTCTAGGAAAGCTTGCATCCTTTTCTGGCACCAAGCATGCACAAAGTATATACACATACATGCAGGCAAAACACTCATACACATACATCTTTGAAAAGAAAGAAGCCAATGTGCAAGCTTGAAAGTTATGAAAAAACAGAAACCACCACTGAATTTCATAGAAAATATAGAAGGCACTGCAGAAATGACTCAGTGGGTGAAGTACTTATCTATAATTCTAGTGATAGGGAACTCACTGGCCAGCTAGCCTAGCCAAAATGGTGAGGTTCACTGAGAGTCACTGTTTCAAAACATAAGGTGAAGGGCAATAAAAGAGGACACACAACATCAACTCTAGCTCACACCTGCCTCCTCCTCCCCCAAAAGCCCAGCCAAACAAAAAGTAACAAAATGTACAACATGCTGTAACTTTCAGATGATTGCCCAGAAGGGACACTGGGTGAAAAACCAACAATAGTCAAGTCAGTGAGAGCCGGCGCCTTCCTGTTCTCACTGGCAGCAAACAGACATACCAATATTAGGGCTTCTAGTTTTTCCTTGCTGCTTTTTTTTTTTTTGTAATTTTGTAACAAAAATTTTTGCAGCCTCCCTTTCTCTAATGTTCTTTGTATAATGCTTCTTTACAGAGAATGTTCAAACCTCTAGACTGCAGTATTTTGTGTTTAGAAAGAGCAGGACTCCAACAGCACAGATTTATTTCTCATACAATGAATTTTTCTCACAGAAAATTTTTGAACAGAGGGCCTTGCACCCATCATGTAAATGTTCTACCACTAACCCATATGCTAGCTCTGTTTTGCATTTTCAGATGCTGAGATCTCAAACTGCAGGGCTCAAGTGATTCTTCTACCTCTGTCTCGAATTGCTAGGATTATAGATGTATAACATTGTGCATGACCACGTGGCTTCATATTTTTCCCTATGCCCACTCAAACATCTGCTGGGTTGGGTTAGGCATGTTTTAACTTATGTCTTAGGTTTATGAGATGTGTATAAATGTTTTTTTCATAATTAGGCTAAGACCCTGAAATTTTTGAAACTTACAACATTATGAGCCAGGCATTATGGTTCCCACCTGTAATCCTAGTATTTGGGAGGCTAAAGCAGAAGGATTACCATGAATTCAAGTCCAGATTGGGCTATACAGTAAGTTTCAAGTCAGTTGTGATGACAAACCAAATCAAATCAAACTAGACCAAACCAACATTATCAAACTAGGAAGAACATCAAAAGCAAAAACTAAGAAGCAGGTGTGGTGGTGCACACCTATGATCCCTGCACTTAGATAAAAACTGGAGCAGTAGGAATCTTAGCTAGTTTGGGTTATGAAACCCTGTCTCAAAATGAACAACTCAACCAATATGGCCTGAGGGTTCTTTGAAAATCTATAATGAATTTCAAAGGATAATTCATTTTTAGAAATGTATGCATCAAATTCTATGAATTTTCTTTTTTTGTTTTTTTGAGACAGGGTTTCTCTATGGCTTTGGAGGCTGTCCTGGCACTCACTCTAGTAGGCCAGGCTGGTCTTGAACTCACAGAGATCTGCCTGTCTCTGCCTCCTGAGTGCTGGGATTAAAGGCATGTGCCACCACCGCCCAGCAAATTCTATGAATTTTTAAATCATACATTTATAGTGGTTATATATGTGGTAACATTATTAAAAAATGTCAGAGAAGAACCAAGGACAGATAGAAACAGTGACAGAGAAAAGGCATGTCTGTCAAACAAGTGATCATGTGGGAAAACTAACTTTTTCATACAGAGAAAAACAATGGAATAACTAGAAATGATCTGAAAGCCCTGAATTACAATTTGAGTGTCCTTGTGAACTTACAATGTTTCTCAGTGTATAAAGTCTAGCTATATGTGGAAATAAGTACGTATAATTATTTATTTATAAACAAACAACTACAAAATCCCACCAACTTTATTTTGAGGCTAGAGAAACAAGCTTCAAATTATACATATATCCTGAGAACTTAGTTTCCAGCTACAATAAAAATTACTTTATTATTATTTTTATATGTGTGGGTATTTTGCCTGAATATATGTCTGTGCACCATATGTGTGCCTGGTGCCGCCAGAAGAGGATGTGGGATCCCCTGGAACTGGAGTGGAAATCAAAACTGGGTAAGTGTAGCGAGTGATTTTACATATCCTTAAGCACTGACTACTCCCGTGTGGGTGTGTTCACAGGTACGCAGAACCTATGGTGGTAAATAGAGCTAGTGGGAGGGGACGCTCCCTCTTTGGTTTCAGTTTTGACCTGGAGAGTAGCATGTGGACCAGCTTTATAGGCTTTTCACGTAAGTGATTTCTCTCTCAATACATATCATAGGACACCCCTAAATTTGTGTAGTTTAATATTTCTGCTTCAGTTAAGTCCCTGGAAGAGCGGCCAGTGCTCTTAACTGCCAAACCATCTCTCCAGCCCATAAGTGACTCTTGTAAATGAGCAAAACAATGAGTAAAACCCCAGTGTTGTATTTTAGAATTTATTTCAGTGTAAGCTCTAAAGCATAGCATACAAATGACCAATTCTTTCTCCTTTTTTCCTCTGGTATATAAAGTCAGGAACGGGACAAATTTCAAATCTTCATAGTATGCGTGTTTTAAACAGGTGAAAACATCTACTAAAGGTTGACCTGTGGCAAGGTCACAACACTAATAATCCCCACTTAACTGCACCTCCAGGAACCAGAAAGTAAGCAGCTTTTGGTGGGTCATATTTGCCACCTATCCAATAAACAGAGGGAGAAATAGTCTAGCAAAGGAGACAAACCAGACAAACTTCTTTAAGGTATCCAACTAAGCTATATGTTAAATAAAGGGAGAAAAATAAAGGGACTTACCTGCACTGCCAAGCTGTTTATAAAACCTGTACTCTAAATGAAGCTGTGGAGCACGTGATTTTATTGGTTCCTGAAACCAAAGGGGGGAAAAACTGTGGTCAAATTTCAGCAAATGGGCCTTTTTCCAATTTTAGATTTTTCAGAATGAACAGGGATAAGATCCTTTCATGTTTCAGAGATGGTCTATTCTTACCACAGTTGTCTTTGGAAGTACAGTTTAAAGAAGATGCAAACCCTTTCACAAGCAGTCAAAGACAGACTCTCCATGAGCCATCACTCAAAAGAGCAGCTCTCTCGTTGTAAAATGCTCTCCCAAAATGTGTTCATTTACCCATCTACCTTCTTTCCTTCTTTTCCTCCTTGCCAATAAATCACTGTGTAGCCCAGGATGACTTCAAAGTCTCAATCCCCCTGCCTCTCTGACTCCTGAGTGCTAGGTGGGCATTACTATGACTGGTATAGACATCAAATCTTAAAAACAAAACAAAACAAAACCACACACACAGTGGATATTTCTTGCTTGTGGTATTATGAATTCTGGGTAGTAAACAGTTTATTTTTAGAAAAATTGTTACATTATAAAAAACACTTCCAAATATGTAAAAAATAAGAAGTAAAAATAATCTGAGGATCTACTGTTTTAGATAGCCATTATTAAAGCTTTGGTAAAGGTTTTTTTGAGATCATATATTTTGAATTCTTTACATAATTGTCAAACTGGTAAATCTCCTGTCTTACTATCCCAAATGATGGGATCAGAGGTATGTACCAGTCTGCCTGGCTCCAAGTACTTATCTGTATCTATTATATAGTACACATTCCTGTAGATCATTTTATATGAAGGAGATCTGATTATATTTACTGTTTACTGTATGTGTAAGCTATGCAACACTTCTACTGGCTGAAATACAACCTTTGTATGCATGTACTTACTGTTTTCAGCTTTCAATGTTACAAATAATACTGTTACAAATATTCCTACATGTACTTCTGTTTACACTTACAAGAACTAAAGACTATAAATGCAACATAAATGAGTAATTTTGATTAATGTGGTGTTGTTTTTTGTTTGTTTGTTTTTGGGTTTTTTTTTTTTGGTTGTTGTTTAAGACAGGGTCTCTCTATGTAGTCCTGCCTGTCCTTGAACTCACAGAGGTTCACCTGTGTCTGCCTCAGTACTGAGATTAAAGGCATGCACTACCACTCCTGGCTATGTGTTTAACTTTCAATAATAGTAATTTCTTAGGAAGGATGCTTTTAAAAGGTTTTATTAATATATATTAATTGTGGCTGTGGTAGCACACACCTTTAATGCCAGCAGGCAGATCTCTGAGTATGAGGTCAGCAATGGTCTACATAGTAGGTTCCAGGACTGTCAGTGCTATTACACAGAGAAACTCTGTCTCAAAAAACCCAAGTGCAATCCTGTGTGTGTGTGTGTGTGTGAGAGAGAGAGAGAGAGAGAGAGAGAGAGAGAGAGAGAGAGAGAGAGAGAGAGAATTACACTAACACACACACACACACACACACACACTGGATTTCATGCCACTTTCATAAACATACATAATGGAAATTCACACACAAACCCTACTCCCCTCTCTACCACCCTATAGGTTCCTTTATTTTTCCCAAATATTCACCTTTTATTTCATGTGTTGTTGTTTTCCTTTTTAAAAATAGATTCCATGTAAAAAACAAAAAACAAAACAAAACCCCATAAAAACAGCCATGTGGTTGGTATCAGTCTTTCCAGCAAAAATGGGTCTCTTTTGTCAAGCATAATAGTTCATGCCTTTAATTCTAGCACTTGGAAAGCTGAGGCAAAGATGACAAGTTTGAGCCCAGCCTGAGATATATAATGAGTTACAGGACACTTTACATTACAGAATGAGACCCTGACTAAACACTGCAACAAAACCTAAACCAAACAGAAATAATAAAGGGAGTTTCTTAATCTTTATAGATTAAGCAGGCAAATAACCACACATTGCTCTATGTCACGTCTAAGAATTGACTGGTTAACTGTTCTGAACAGATGGATAGTATTGGCAAATAGTTAACAAGGCAATAGAAGGCTATCATAAAAGATGTCAATTTGGTATATAATGGTATATAAATGATAGGTAAAAACCACTACAAAGTTGTTCTGAGCTCCTTTTAAAAAATTCATTACCAGCCAAGTGTGCTATCATCAGCCTTTAAGAGGTAAGCAGATCTCTGAGTTAAAAAGCTTGGTTTACACAGCAAACTCTAGGCCCACTAGAGTTAAATGATGAGATTGTCTCAACAAAAGAAAACCACCAAACAACAAACAAAAATCCAAAAAACAAAACCCAACTAAATAAACAAAACTCATCAACAAGCCATGCATATCTATAATCTCTACAACCTTAGTATCTAAGATGATGAGGTAGGAGGGTCTTGGTTTAAGGGTAAGTTGGACTATATGAAGGGCAGCCTGGGCTACAGATTAAGGCCCTTACTAAAAAACAAAACTAAAACAACCAAAACTTCCTGAACTTGTACACTCAACTAGGATGAGTACTATTAAAGCAGAAAGGTAGTTTTAGTACTATGGAGAAACTAGAACCCTTCTGTGTTGCTAGCCTTAATTTAAAATGGTGCAGCTGCCAGTACATCCACTTTCCCGGCATTTGGGAAAAGAAGCCAGGAAGATCAGGAGTTCAAGGTTATCCCTGGCTACATATCAAGTTCAAAGAAAGCTTAAATTACACTAGAGCCCACCTCAGAATGAATAAACAAACAAACAATTAAATAGAATGGTGCAACTGAAAATGCTGTAGTCAATCAATTCTACTTCTAGGTATAGATTGTAAGTGTGTGCCATCACAATTGGTTTTATGTGGTGAGGGGAATCAGTGCATGCTAGGCAAGCATTCTCCCAACTGAGTTACATCCCAGTTCCTCAAACATTTGTCATAAATTTTTAATAGTAATATTTAAAACCTTCTTAATACTTCAGTCCAGGCGGTTGTGGCGCATGCCTTTAATCCCAGAATTTGGGAGGTAGAGGCAGGTGAAACTCTGTGAGTTCAAGGTCAACCTGGTGAGTTCCAGGCAGGCTTCAAATCTACAGAGACATTCTGTCTTGAAATAACCAAAACCAAAAACAAACAAACAAACAAACAAACCTTCTATTTCAAAACACACAATAAATTATTGCTACCTAAAAAAAGTGTACATTTTTCTTAGGAAATAGAATCTACAAATCACAGAACTCAGAAGCTTCTTTCAAATTACCTAATTCATTCATTCATCCTTGGTTTTTAAGAAAGTTTAAGCTAAATAAATTCAGAGGTTGAGTATTTTATACCCTCAAGGAACTCCATTAAAGCAGAACTCACAGCATTCAACAATCACTAGAGTTGAACTTTCTCTTTCCTAAGATTATAGTTAATTAAGAAAAATGCACAAAATACCTGATAGTCACCTGACTGCTCTCTTCAGCTAGAACGACCACTCTTCATTTGGTTACAGGTCATCTAACTTATTACCAACAAAGTAGCCAGTTACAGAATGTGTCTAATAGCAAAACCACCAGCAATAATTTCATGGGAAACATAGGAACAAAACAAGATGGAACTAGAGCAGAAAAGCTACTGCCTGGCTCCAGAGAGATAATCTCTAGAGAAAGACAAAGCACAAGGGAAATAAATTTTAAAACCACAGGATTTTTACTTGAATTTCATGCTAGAAACCTTAGCAGAAAATATTCAATATGACCTTCAATATCTTAGTTAATAAAGAAAACAACAACTAATCTTCATAGAATCTCAGTGTTGAGAATGAACTTATACCTCACATGTACTCACAAATGACAGTTCTTTTGTTTTGTTAATTACAGTAATGTACATCCTTCAGCTAGTCTCTTGAGCACATGGCTGAAGACTATTCAAGCAAATATGGCTTCAGGACCTGTTCTGGAAGCATTAAGAATAGAGTCATTCAAACATACAAACAGCAGTTTAGAGAAAAGCAAGATGATTAACTTGCTAAGTACTGAGAATGACCTTGAATTCCAGATCTTCTTCTACCTCCTGAGTACTGGGATTGCAGTCATGAAACAGACAGACACCATACTGGTTTTTGCTGTTGTTTTTCCAGGGGCATGATCTCTAATTCTATAAACCAGGCAAGCCTAGAACTTTCAGTGATCCTTCTTCTTTACCTCCCAAGTGATGAAATGACAGATGGGAGCCATCATGCCTGGTTACTCTGTATATACTTAAGATTTACTGTTTTTTATTTATCTATATCTGTATGTGTTTGTATCTCTCTGTGTATGTGTGAGCATATATGCAGCACTGTCCCTGGAAGCCAGAAGAGGGAGCTAGATCCTCTGGAGCTAAAATTCCAGGCAGTTGCAAGTTACCTGGCATGAATCCAAGAACTGAACTCCAGTTCTCTGCAAGAACAAGTGCTCTTTACTGTTCAGCCACCTGAACTCAGGTTGTCAGGATTGCATGGCAAGCATATATACCTTCTGAGCTACACTAATTGGCTCTACTTTGTGAATTTGTAAAAATTCTTAAAAAGTAAAGTAACAAGATCCACAATGAAGAGCCAAAGTACAATTGAGCTGTTGGCACACACCTTTAATCCCAGTACTTGGGAGGCAGATGCAGGCAGATCTCTTGAGTTTGAGGTCAGCCTGGTCTACACAATGAGTTCCAGTACAACTGCAGCTACACAGAAAAACCTTGTGTCAAACAACAGAAAAGAAACAGCAGTACCAAGTTTCCTGCAGTTCTGTAGCAGATGTTGACTGCCTATGATCAGAGAGCTGGCCATCTGCCAGAATCACTGCTATTCTGGAACACACACGTCTGCCTGAAATCTTAGATCAATGACAAATGGCTGTCTTACACAATGGAAGGAGATCAACAACTACTGCTCTGTGTCCCTTGAATAAGCTAAACAGCAAGGGATGAAACCCCTAGATGGAGTTGCTATACTCTAGACGGGAATTTTCATTCTTTCCTTCCTGCCTTCCTCTGAACCCAGGACCCCAACCATGTTATATAGGTACTCTATCTCTGAGCTGTAACTCCAGCCCCTAATTCTACTTTTTATATTGTCCATACAAAGCAGAATAAAACTTAATAAAAGGAAATGAAGGAAACAGATCTATATAGGTCAAAGTGGTATGAACTTGATAGAAGGAATCTTGACAGAAAGCCTCAAAGAAGCCTTGAAAAATAGACAGTAACAAAAATATAGTAGTAAGGAAATTTCAAGATACAAGCTTTTACATTGTTTTGAGTTTTTTGTTTTTTTGTTTCTTTTTGTGCAAATTTTGTTTTGTTTTTAGTTTATTGAAACAGGGTCTCAGGCTGGAAAGATCCCTCAGAGTTTAAGAGCACTGGCTGCTCTTCCAAAGGACCTGGGTTCAATTCCCAGCACTCACACAGCAGCTCACAACTGTCTATAACTCAGGTTCCAGAGGATCTGACACCCTCACACAGACCTACATGTAGGCAAAACACCAATGTACATAAAAAGCATTCACATTAAAATATGGAAGAATAAGCCAGGCGGTAGTGGCGTAAATCCCTTGATCTCATCACCTGGGAGGCAGAGGCAGGTGATCTCTATGAGTTTGAGGCTAGGCAAATCTCACACGACAGCCAGAGCTATGCAGAGAAACCATGTCTCAAAAAATCCAAAAAGAAAAAGAAAAAAGAAACAAGGTCTCACTGTATTTACTATATTATATAGCCCAGGCTGGCCTCAAACTTACAATACTCCTACCTCAGTCTCCACAGTGCTAGGATTACCAAGGGCCACTAAAATACATTTGGCTTTGTTTTGAGGAGTACTTCTTCCTGTTCAGTAGCCTTAGATAATTAAAGATTATTCTGTGTGAGACAGAAGTCAAATGGCAAATGCACTAGAGCATACTTTCCCAGAACTAAATTTCTCAACAGAAAAACAAGTAGATAACCATTACCTGTCCATTTTAAAAGGTATTTGACCTGTATCAATGCATATGCTCCTTCTTTTCTGGCTCTAATTTCTCTACCAGTCAAAGAAAAAACCAAACCAGTGCAGTTGCACAATAACCCTAGCACTGAGGGTGCTGAAGTACCAAGAGTTACCATAAATTTATAGTCAGCCTGGCTACCCACTGAGAACTGGGTCAGCCAGGGCTACAAAGAAAAAAAAGCAGAAAAAAAAAAAACGGGGGGCATGTGTGTGCTGGTGACATAGGTTGGTGGTAGAGTGCTTGTCTAGCATACATTAAGTTCTAGGTTCAAGCTCTTTTACAACAACAAACAACAACAAAAATAACCCCAAACTTGAGCATGGTGGCACAAACCTGTAGTCCCAGAACTTGAATGGAAGCAATAGGATCAGGATGCCTCAGGTATACATTGAGGTTTAAGGCCAGTCTGAGTTACAGGAAGCACCTCAAAAAGGGGAACAGAGCTGGGAGAGTTCCAAAGAAATTGCCTGTTCTAAGTTCCTATACTTGGCTGGCAACTGCTACTCTTTCACAAAAGAATCCTAACAACTCCACAAACTGACACGCAAATGAAGATAAAAAGACTAAGCAGGGCTATAGGGAATTTTTTTTGGTTTTTTGTTTTGTTTTGTTTTGTTTTTCGAGACAGGGTTTCTCTGTGGCTTTGGAGCCTGTCCTGGAACTAGCTCTTGTAGACCAGGCTGGCCTCGAACTCACAGAGATCCGCCTGCCTCTGCCTCCCAAGTGCGCCTCTGCCTCCCAAGTGCTGGGATTAAAGGCGTGCGCCACCAACGCCCGGCTATAGGAAATGTTTTTATGGATGCTTTGTTCATTTCTTGAGATAGCATCTCAAGGAGCAGGCTAGCCTCTACTAGCTGTGCATCTTAGAAAGATATTCAGTTTCTGACCTTTTGCCTCTGCCCCCAGTTCTTGGGATTACAGTCATGCACTATCATAACCAGTTTGACATCTTTTGTTGTTGTTTTAGCCCTGGCTGTCCTGGAATTCACTATGAAGACCAATTTGGCTTGAGATCTGCCTGCTTCTGCCTTAAACTCAAACTCAATATAAACCTAAGGATGATACTGAACTCCTGATTCTTCTGTCTCCTCCTTTAAAGCACTGGAATTAAAAGCATGTGCTGAAGGCCGGGCGGTGGTGGCGCACGCCTTTAATCCCAGCACTCAGGAGGCAGAGGCAGGAGGATCTCTGTGAGTTCGAGGCCGGGCTGGACCGACAGCCTCCAAAACAATACAGAGAAACCCTGTCTCGTAAAACCAAAAAAAAAAAAAAAAAAAAAAAAAAAGCATGTGCTGAAAAGCATGAGCAGCCATGTTTGGCTTGACAGATTTTTAAAACAGTAGTTCTCAACCTATGGGTTGTGATGTGATCCCCCCAAACCTCTATCTCCAAAAATATTTACATTATGATTCATTAATAGTAGCTAAATTACAGTTATGATTCAGGAATGAAAATAATTTTATGATTGGGATCACCATAGCATGAGGAACTGTATTAAATGGTTGCCACATTAGGAAGATTGAGAACTACTATTTTTTTTTGTTTTGTTTTGTTTTTTAAGACAGGGTTTCTCTGTGTTGTTTTGGAGGCTGTCCTGGAACTAGCTCTTCTAGACCAGGCTGGCCTCGAATTCACAGAGATCCGCCTGCCTCTGCCTCCCAAGTGCTGGATTAAAAGCGTGTGCTACCAACGCTCAGCTGAGAACTACTATTTTTAACTATCGATAAGATGGTCAGACTTAGTTTTCTTCTGTTAAATATACCAATACATGCCACACATTTTAAAAATAGATGTTGCTGGGTAGTGGTATGGCACGCCTTTAATCCCAGCACTCAGGAGGCAGAGGCAGGTAGATCTCTGTGAGTTTGAGGCTAACCTGGTCTACAAGAGTGAGTTTCAGCCGGGTGTTGGTGGCGCACACCTTTAATCCCAGCACTCGGGAGGCAGAGGCAGGTGGATCTCTGTGAGTTCGAGACCAGCCTGGTCTACAGAGTGAGTTCCAGGACAGCTTCCAAAACAATACAGAGAAACCCTGTCTCGAGAAAACAAAAAAAACCAAAAAAAAAACAACAAAAAAAAAGAGAGTTTCAGGACAACCAGAGCTATACAGAGAAACCCTGTCTTGAAAAACCAATAAACAAACAAACAAATAAATAAATAAATAAATAAACAGATGTCAAGGAGCTCCAAAGAAATGAACACTGGTTTAGAGCACTTGTTGTTTTTGAAGATGAACCAGGTTCAATTCCCAGAATCAACAAGTTAGTTCACAACCATTCATTAACTCCAGTTTCAGGGGACTGGAACACCCTCTTCTGGCTTCCATGGTACCAGGCATACACTCAGTGTGCACACACACAATCAATTAACTTTGGACTTATCTTTGCTACCACTACAATTAGTATCATTTATATGACATTACATAGCATATAGTTTTTTTGTTTTTTGTTTTTTTTTTTTTGGTTTTTCGAGACAGGGTTTCCCTGTGGCTTTGGAGGCTGTCCTGGAACTAGCTCTTGTAGACCAGGCTGGCCTCGAACTCACAGAGATCCGCCTGCCTCTGCCTCCCAAGTGCTGGGATTAAAGGCGTGTGCCACCAACGCCCGGCTTATAGTTTTTTTTTATTTATCATTATAACATCCTGGTGGAGGAAAAATGACTATCTGGCATCATACACACAGTAAATTTAGGTAAATATAGCATTATTGTGAATGCCTACAATGACTTCTTGTAAGAAGACATTAGCAATGAAAGCACCAAAACACAAAGACCACAAACACACACACATCTACTCACCAGTTTAATGGCTACATATTCATTGGTGTAGAGATTTTTACCTAAGGGAAAAAAGAGAATGTATATATTTAGTGACATTAGTTTACAAGGTCATGAGAAAAATAGATTTTTCTAACTGGTTACCATATATGAAAACAGAGCTAAGTGAAAAGCTAAACAGAGATAATGAGAACCAGCAGGCCTAGGACAAAAAACAGCTTGATAATCGAAAAATGTAAGCTACACATTTGTTTGTTTTAAAAAGGAAAAAACTAACCAAATTCACCATCTCTTCTCTCCCTTTTGCTCCCCACACATATTTATTCAACCTTATTACTTCTCAATTATTATGGTTGAAGTGAACTGAGAAATAAATGTCACAATTTCAAAGATAGAAATTTAAACTTGGAGAAGGTTGGAGGCACAAGAATCAGGAATTCACGATCATCCTTGGTTACATATTGAGTTTAAGGCCAGTCTGGGCTGAATGAGCTCTTGTCTCAAATCTCATCCTACCCCTAGAAAAAAACATTAAGCTCAGATCAGAAGAGGTAGGATGAAACGAGAGATCTAATTTATTTAAGGTGAACCAAGGTGGTAGTCATGTGCAGCAAAGGAATAAACATGGGTACCAATGTGAACAAAAAAAGAAAATAATTATTGTAGATGACAAAAGAACCAGGAAGTTTCAGGAGTTCAATTTCCCCTCTTTGACCTCCTGCCTCCACAAAGTCACAAAGAACAAGCAGTATTTTAACAGATGGAGAATGGGTAAGATCATTTCAGGAAGAGGAACTGCAAAAGCAAACAAAAATAAAGCAGTAGATGCTACAGGCAGAGAGTGGTACAGAGTCTGGGGCTATGAGTTGTTGAATGAATATATCGGGGCGGGTGAGGACTGACAAGGAGTAGTTGAAGCAAAAACTGGGAGAGGCTGAGGCTGTATTAGGAAAACCTTATCACATAATTAGATCTATGCCTCTGATTGATTATGTATGAGGCAGCATAAAAATTAACTAGAAAAGCAGGAGAGCAGACATAAGGGAATATCACATACATTCTTCGAAGATAAGCTACACCCAGTTCTCAAACTTCAGAGAATATACCTAGCTCCTCACACAGTCCTGTGTATTTGATTAAAATCTCAGTCAATAGCCGGGAGTTGGTGGCGCACGCCTTTAATCCCAGCACTCGGGAGGCAGAGGCAGGCGGATCTCTGTGAGTTCGAGACCAGCCTGGACTACCAAACGAGTTCCAGGACAGCCTCCAAAGCCACAGAGAAACCCTGTCTCGAAAAACCAAAATCTCAGTCAATAATGTTATGCTGTTAAGACAAAAATATGATTGAGTACACAAAAGAGTCTGAGTAATAGAGGAAAGCACATTTGGGTACAAACAACATTTCAAGTCAGAAAGTGACCTGAATAATGAAGGTCCTATATTATTTTCCTATATTAGAAAAAAAAATCCAGGTTGGGCATGGTGACACACCTTTAACCTCAGGTGTGGGGAGTCAGAGGGCACGTGGGTCTCTGTGAGTTCAAGGTTAGTTTGGTCTATGCTAGCAATTCTAGGCCAAGCAGAGATAGCAGAGATATCCCTATCTATCTCAAAAGAAAGAAACCTTTGATTTCTTTGAACACTTGTGTTTAAAAAAAAAAAAACAGGGGTGAGGGGTCTAATTCTTTGGGGGGGGGTTTGAGACAGGGTTTTCTGTGGTTTTGGAGGCTGTCCTGGAACTAGATCTTGTAGACCAAGCTGGTCTTGAACTCACAGAAATCCTCCTGCCTCTTCCTCCCAAGTGCTGGGATTAAAGGCATACACCATCACTGCCCAGCGAGGTCTGATTCTTATAAACTCATTTTAATGTAAATATTTTTTCCTTAACTTCACAAGTTAAAAGAAAAAGTTCCAAGAATAATGTGTCTTATTTGTTCTGCAGTTTGCAGTTTAGTACACAGAGGCCCTGATCTATATCATAATACACTCTTGGGTGTATGTACTGCAAAAAAAAAAAAAAAAAAAAAAAGAATTCATATTCAAAGCTATCCATAGGTTGTCTCCAATGAACCTTTCTGACTTCTGACCATTTCTTCTCATGTATCATATTCTCTAATTGTTTGAGTCCAGTCAGAGTATCAGACTGCATTTGGGGGCCATTCCTCTTGTTTTTATTTGTATGTGTGTGTTGCCATACTGGGATACAATTCAGGGTCTTCTACATGCTAGGCATGTCCTGTGCTACTCCTGAACTACATCCCCAGCCTGAAAAAAATTTTCCTTTAGAAATTTTTTAGGGGTGGGCATAGGGTCTCATTATGTAGCCCTGAGTGGCCTGGAAGTGGCTTTTTATATGAGGTTCAAGAAGATTAATAACACAAATCAACATCTAGTTTCTAGAACACTGTAATGTCATGTTTTGGTTTTTAAAGACAGCATCTCACTGTACAGCCCTTGTCAGTGAGGCCTGTCAAGGGTGACCTTGAACTCAAGAGATCCACATGTCTTATCCCCCCCAAACCCAGTGCTAGGATTGAAGGCACGTACAACCAAGCCTCTGTCTGTCTGTCTGCCTGTCTGTCTGTCTATCATCATGTTTGGAGACAGGGTCTTAAAATACAGTTCTGGCTAGCCTTGATCATAACAATCTTCTTGCCTCAGCCTCTCAAGAGCAGAGTGACAGGCATATGTCAGGTTTGCTACATATATATTTCTTTTTACCTTAGGGAGGCAATCTGTTTCCTGAGGACAAGAAAGTTTAGAGTTTTGTAGGGAGGGGGCACACTGAAGATTAAATTCAAAGCCTTGTCTATTAGGCTAGGTAAATGTTCTATCATTAAGCTACATCCCTAACCATCAATACTTCTTATATCCCCAGCAATATATAGTAACATGTTTGCTAAAGTGAACCAAAGTAACTTGGTCCTAGCTGGTGGGTCCAAATTACTAGGAGGTAACTGCATCAGGAAAGGCTGGCTTGGATTAGTCAGCCTATGGTTTAGTTTACTTGTGGAGTCATAATTTGATGGCACTATTGACAGATAATAAAAACTACCAAATGGGGCCTAATCACCAGGACAGAGTTTTGAATGGTCAATGTAGTTTCTGGAATCAATCTTTCCCCCCTCCCCTCCTTCCTTCTCTCTCTTTCTTCCAGACCACATGGTGCACAGCCCTGCTACACTATACCATTTAGTCATATGTTCTGCCTCACCATCAGCCTATAGCAACAAACCCTGGGAATCATGAAGTGAAGCATCTAGAACCATGAACTAGATAAAACTCTTCTCCTGTATATGGTATGTTTTTACTCCATTTTTCAGCTTGCTGAGAATCACAAGCAGTCTTTCTTGTTTGTTTGTTTTGTTTTGTTTTCTCAAGACAGGGTTTCTCTGTATTGTCTTGGAGGCTGTCCTGGAACTCATTCTGTAGACCAGGCTGGTCTCGAACTCACAGATATCCACCTGCCTCTGCCTCCCGAGTGCTAGGATTAAAGGCATGCGCTACCAACGCCCAGCTCACCAGCAGTCTTATGCTAAGAAAAAAAAATTAAGTGGTATTTTAAAAGTATTATCTTGACCCTACTGTATAAAATAGAAGAGACTAACTAGAAGAAAAACAGGACATTTTCATAGCAGGACATTTAAAGAACCACACTTTTGGTTCAGAGTGGCTATAAGGATTACATGAAGATTACATGAGATACAGCATGTGAAAGTACTTTGTAAACTGGGAAGAACTAAATAAATCTTATTTTCATTATTTGTTGGGGAAGTCCTGTGTATATGTCAATAAATTACTGCTGGCCAATAGGAATCTAGATAGGTGGGGCTAGGAATCCAAGAGGATTCTGGGAAGGAGAAACACAAGAGAGTCAACATGTAACGCCATGGGGTAGGAGCCCGGAACTATTCTCCAGTAAGAGACATACATAGATTAACAATTATGGGGTAATTACTTAAGTCAGAGCTAGCCAGTAAGAAACAAGCAAGGCCACAGCTTCATAATTAATACAGTGTCTTGTGTGTTATTTGGGGACTACAATGCCGCAGAGCCCAGGCAGCTGGCGGGGGGGGGGGGGGGGAATAAACCAAAGCGGCTAGCAAGGAAAAGCTGCCCTTTACAATTATTATTTTAATATGAGGCAGCAACCTCTCATTTAAATAAAGAGACAAACAAAATCTATATGTCAGATATTTTCAAGAAGAGAAAAAACTGCCTCCAAATTACATTTAATAGGAGATGAGGGGGGGAAAGGGGGTCAAAAATTATGTTCTTTTTGTTTGTTTGTTTTTCGAGACAGGGTTTCTCTGTATTGTTTTGGAGGTTGTCCTGGAACTCACTCTGTAGACCAGGCTGGTCTCGAACTCACAGAGATCCACCTGCCTCTGCTTCCCGGGTGCTGGGATTAAAGGCATGTGCCACCACCGCCCAGCATAAAAATTATGTTCTTATGATAAGTATGGAAGCCCACTCCTTTAATCTAGTGTTTGAAAGATAGAGGCAAGAGATCATAAATTTAAGGGCTACAAGAGATTCTGTCTTGAAAAAGAGAGACGGTGACAGAGTGAAGGGAGGGGGGGGAAAGCATGGGGGTGGGGGTGTTCTTAGTGAGAGGAGAACAGAAAAGCAAAGAATAATTAATGAATGTGCTTTCCTCCCAAATTCTTGCTAAACTGAAAAGTGATAGATTGGGAAGTGCTTCTCAGCTTCAATTTTCTACATAGAATAATACACTAAGTGTTGAAGCTATTTTCTGCAGATGTGACAAGACCATCTGCCAACATGAAGATGACTGTTGTGACCTACAGAATACCGTGGTTCGCAGTCATCACAAGAAAAGCAAGCAATACAGTAACAGCTATATACATGGCAATAATAATAGAACTGCTAACATTGCCTGGCAGAAAGATCCCATTCACCACTCACTCCTCTCATTCCCTTCAGCTGTGTTTGGTCTTCGGCAATACAGTGTGATAAAGAATATAAAAGGTAGAAGGCTGACTAGGGATTAAGAGTATAGTGACACAGCTGGGGTGGGACCTTCTGGTAATGCAGCTAA